AGGAGAAAAGAGGCATTAAGAGATGAGGGCTGGCTCAGCTGGGTTTCCAGGGCTGGGATTTGAACCTGCTGCTAAAGCTCACTGTGCTGTCAGCAAGAGGCCTAACGAGAAGCATTATCTGCTCATGCAAGACACACACAGGCTGCTTTTCAAATACCTGAAATCCATTACTGAAGGTTATGCTTCAGAAAAACTGAATTCTGTTCCGCTCTACTAAAAAAACTACTGCACTAGATTTGATGCTAAGAATGATAAATGTTTTATATACAGTATGTCTATGGCAACTTATGAACATGTTTTTACTGCATAGAGGGCTGGTTGAAAACTCAAAATTAGTTATAACGATATCTAACTAAAAAACAACTTCAAACAAATGACAATCTGATTCACTCAGACATTTACTTAAGTTACCTGCTATCTAGTTATTTGCAGCAGACAGTGGCATTTTTTTTCAATCAAGTCTCACTTTGGATCGTCCACTTTCCCCACCATTAAAAAATACAGAAGTACATTAAATACTAACAAATAAACAAAAACAATAAAGTCCTAAATCTTCAACTTCCAGCTTCACTGAACACTGGTCATTTGTGCTTTAACCACTGGCAAAAGAAACGAAACAACAGATTGTAAAACAAATGCTACACACGCACCATGTCCCTGTCCAAGTGCTCTGGAAATCACATGAAGTTACCAACCAAAGTCCCTCATAGTTTTGGTGAACCCAAATTGCAGCCTGCTCATAAAATGTTCCACACACAAATTGCTCGCTCCATGACTCATTTTATACCATATACTGTAGGTGCCAAACACACAGGATGCAACCATGTTGACATGGAAACGCAACAAACAGACAAACAGACTCTTGATGTCTGCAGACCAGAGGTTGTATTCCTGTCATGTTATCTGACCAAAACGGCGAGTGTTAAAAGGGAAAAGCTGAATAAATCTGCAGAGAAATTATTTGTCTGCTGCAAAAGTAAAATGTATATTTCTCACATTTTCAAATGCAAATTGACCGAATTCCAATTCACTGTATGTTACAGGCAGCTTCACACGGCCATTTGAACTCAACAGCAGTTTCTAATCTTTGGTTGTAAGCCCAAGGCCTCATAGTGCTACTCACCAGTCAGTGCTGCTCTCCTCTCCTTAACTTTACTTCATTCCTTATTCTCTCCTTCTTTTTCCTTTTTCTTCTTTATTCATAAAAACAAAAAAACAAAACAAAACAGAAAAAACACTTCACTTGCTTTAGACTTTTGTCAAATCTTTGCAGGAGTCTGGTCTTCTCTGTCTCTCTCGGCCTCTCTGTGCCTGTCTCACTGCCTCTGTGTCTCTGTCTGTCTCTATCCAGCTATTCCAGACATGTTTCAGGGCTCGGCCCCAGCCAAATATGGGAGGAGGGCGGTAAACAAGGAAGACGAAGACAGCCTCTGCTGTCACTGGGCCCGCTGCCCTACTGTACACCACACACACACACACACACTGGAACACACACACACACTTATTCTCCTGTGGCAAGACACCATGTTTAGTGGTTATTCTCATTTTTCAGAACTCAAGGGATCATTTCATTCCTACAACACACACTGCATCCACTAACAGAACATTCAAGTCAGCAACTTTGAATATTACCTGTTTCACAGTGTAATAATGAAAATTGTATTGTGTATACATTACCTGGGTTTAAATGCTCATTTAATGTCTTGCTGAGCACGTTTTACATGTTTTTATCAAATTAGAAACCTGGAAAACATCCGTGTGATACAATGAAGATTAGTAAATATCAGCATAGTGTTTTGAATCATGAAATTTTTGTTTAATGACCACAAATAAGCTCATTTCTCTCTCATACCAAATGCCACTGCTAGTGCCACTGTTCAGTTTAGACCGTCTTTCCTTGCATCTCTTCTCTCTTTAAAACATCTTGGAAGTGATATTTCTATCATCCTTGCACACTTTCTGCCAGAGTGAGTGCAAGCATTGAGGCATTGTGTCTGCGCTGGAACAACAACACCGTCTTTGTTGTTTTTTGCCACAAAGCAATCTCGGTTCATGCCATATAGCTGTATTTCAGACATCGGGCAAAAACAGACTTTGCCATCACACTAAAACCTGGAATTCAACAATTTTCTGATATTAAAATGATAAACGTGTCATTTTTATAAAGCAGATTTGCTAATAGCATTGCTGCAGCTGTGTTGCTACTCAGTGGCCCAAACAGTGGCCTTTTGACTGGTCTGACCTCCGGGTCGACAGCTGCCACCGAACCCCAGGGCTATTAGTGGAGCAAAGGCAAGCCGACAAACACAAGGTGCACTGCACACACACACACACACACACTCGCACATACCACGTAAAAAGGTCTATACAAATGTACAAAAATTTACAGGCATGGACATGGACGGCTATGCATCCCCATATAGTGCAGAAATACTGTATATCACCAACTGAAACTATAAACACCAATACCTTTACACACACACACACACACTTCACAATGTTGTTCTTAACAACTGCTTAAGTGTAACACTCATCACAAATTCCTTCTGTTAAAGTAAGCTAAAGATGCCCCCCCCCCCCCCCCCCAGCATGCATCAGTATGAAACACACATAACTCTAAGCTGCCTAATCCTGCAGACCCTTTTAAGACACCCATCTCTCGTTGAGTCCTCTCAGCTGGATTTCCAAGGTCGCTGGCGCTGTGTTAAAAATGGCGTCAGGAAGAGCCGGGGCGAGCCCCAGACGCATTCAGACATCAACAACTGAGGATGAAACATTCGTTTAACACCCGCGCAAATAAACAAGTCTGGATTCCTTTAACGATACCTGATGAGTGATCAGTGTCCACTGTACTGTAGTGTGTAAAAATAGGCCATTCTGTCATGGAGCTTATCAGCGTGGCATCAGAGTATGAGGTCACCTCGGTCTACCAACTCAAATATGTATTTTACACCTGATTAACATTCTCTCACTGCTTACTAATAATCTATCTCTCCCCTAGCGACTTTTTATGCCACCAAAATCTTTCTTGTCATAATTTAAATGCTGTTTAATAGAACTTCTTAATCATCATCTCATTGTTGCATCTTCCAAAACAAGCACGACCTTCTTCATCCCCTGTCTGTCCAGGCCTTGTACAAACAGAAACCGTGTTCCTGCACCAGCTCCCTGTGAACAGTCAGATCGTCACGTCCGAGCGTAAGAGCGAAGGCTGCAATTAGAGAAATGAATAAACTGGCCGAGAGGTTTTTTCTGCTGAGTGCTCAGAACACGGCTGCCCACTCAATTAGGATCAAACTTGCAATCCTGGCGATTCCCACTGACCTTCTTGCAACACAGCAATTACCGCAACGGTTCTCTGGGGATGTTCATAAAAATGAAATGGGTCTTTGCAAAGCCATAAAAAAATAAAAAAATAAAAAAAATCCCATATATAAAAGTGGATGCAGCACCACAACGGCTGCCAAGTCCTGACTCAACTGAGGGCCAGTGCATCCTCCTGTTTGTGCAAACTTCTCAGATTAACAGCAGTAATCATGAATCTCATCATCACTGAGAGGATCCAAGGGACTCTTCAAAACTGTCAGTTAGCTTAAGTGGCCACACTTTGTCTTAAAAACGCCAAGACAGGATATTTTATGATGTTATCAATTTGCGACGTTCAGTTTATTCCAGAAATGATCTTGTAATGATGTGTTATGGTCTGCTGTTTACTGATCCCACTGAGACACTTTCCATTACTCATTCATATACTGGGGACAAACTAATACATGTATGGAGGTAATAATAGTATAATGATAATAATAGCAGAGCACTGAGAGTCAGAGTGGGGACAGGAAAATGTGCTGCAGTGTGCCATGACTGTCAAATTAAAAGAAAAGCCTACATAAAAAATGATGTGTATCACTCTGATGATGACGAAGATATATTACAAACGGGCTGTTGTTGCCATGGGCTGCAAAGCTCATCGAAACACTGTTCGTGATACTGAGCTTTACCAGTCTACTTGAGCCTGTGATGTTATTGGTGGTGAAAAAGTGGAATTTCTGCGTCTTCTGCAACTGATTTCTCTTTGCATAATTGGCTGAAAAATGATCCAAAAGAGGAGACAGTCTGTGGATCACTATTACTGAACAGAAAGAAGAACGCACATTAAAAAGGAGCCCAAATTTTAAATTACCTAAACTTCTGGCACAGAAGCAAAAGCAAGCCAGTGGCTGGAGGTGGGTTTGGGCAGTTGTGAGTCTTGGGGTCGGTGGTGTTTCAGGTTACAACCCCCCTTGGGGAGGGGGCAGCGCCAGTAGCAGGGCGACTGACGCCCCCCTATTTCTGCAGCAGCTATTTAAAGGCCTAATTGACAGGTTGGGGGAGGAGGGTGTGTGTGTGTGTGTGTGTGTGTGTGCAGCTCAGGGAAAGCAGTATAGGTGGGTGACGAGCAGACAGACACAGACGCTTCTGATCTTCAGGAGAGTGCCGAGTGAAAGCCAAAAAATCTGGATCTGTGGTGACAGGGGAATTTGACTGATGTGTATTGAACTTGTTTGTGAATTAGTGAAACTGAGTGAAATGTCTGGCATCTGAATTGAGAAAAACTGTATTTGCTTTTGTTTATTTGAAATTTGAAATTGAAATTTTACTATTAGCAAATATTGTCTGTGAAGCTCCAGCACATTGCTTCCATGCTACCGAACTCTAACTATTAGTATTAGTATTATAAAGCCTTCAAAAATAAAAGTTCTGGTAACTTTTTGCCGTGTCGTTTCAACCATATTGATCGACTGTGTACTCAAGTTGAATCTGTGTTTCTTTTTGTGAATATTACAAGATACAATCAAAATAAAACAAAAATAAAACCACTGAAGCAGCAACACCAGTCTGAAAGTCTCTATTAGTAACTGTGGATGAGTGGAGACAACCTATCCATCAAACTCTGTGCGCGTGTGTGTGCGTGTGTGTGTGTGTGTGTGTGTGTGTGTGTGTGTGTGTGTGCATGGACAAACCGTGCTCGCCATCTGCAGTGTCCTCACAGCGATGGCTGAAGTTATCATAAGAGTCCCAGCGGATCAGTGGATCCTGGGTGTTGTAGTCCACAGAGACGCTCGGCCCGTTCTCCAGGTGGCCCAGGCCTGAGGAACACAAGGCATGATGGGTAATGGGGTCCTCACACAGAACGTATTGGCTCGAATGGATGAGAGCACAGGAAGTGTCACTCCCGACACAGAAAGCCACGATTTAGGAAAAGTGACATTTATCCTGACAAAACATTTTTGCCAATACTTATCACTTTTAAAATCAAAACATTTTTTCAGTAAAGAAAAATGGATTACCTCTGATTTTTTCCGGTCCATATGAGAAGACAAACTCCACCTTGCCATACTCTGGAAACCTCTCATCTGCACAGACAAAGACAATATAAAGATGCTTTTTATTTTTTAATTAAAAACAACAGACACAGATACACACAAACACAGTGGATGAGAAATGATGTGTTTAAATCAACATTGAGCATCATGGTGAAACATACAACAAAGTCTAAAAAAAAAAAAGTCCTAAACAATCACTGATAAAATGTCAACATTTCAATTTCAATGTAGCAAAATCTATGTAAAAACTGCAAGATATAAATAATTTATGCAGAGTAAACATCAGTGTTTATTGTAAAACTTGACCACTTTAAGAAACTCTAGCTGATCTTTATCATAATTAGCTCTTTTGCATTTTCTTCCATTATTTCCCTTTGCTTTATTTTACTGTAAGTAAATACTGAGCTGCCTTCACCACCAGAGGACCCTGTTTGCTATAAAAGTGAGGAACAGTGTGCTCCTGTAGCAGGGCACAAGAACTTTGCTACAAGAAATAAACGAGAACCGAAACATATTCTTCAGATAAACTTAGTAACAACAGTAAAAAAAAATCCTAGTTTTATTTGAAGGTGTTTGAAATACACACTTGATCCATACACACACTAACAGCACAGTAAGTGTGTGAAGCAGGAGTGCTGTTGAATGTCCCTGCCCGATGTGTCACCCAGTTATCTGCATTCGTCTTGAATGTTAATAAACTTGTCACATTAGCCGAGGCTCGCATATAAACACAAATACTGTCTTTTTCCCTCTGTTTACAAAAGGATAACGAAGCATTGTCAAACACACAAACGCAGACATAAACAGAATACTGTAAAAACACACCCACCCAGAGAGCCGTTACCTTTGAAGGTCTCGTCCAGCTCATTCTTCCCGAAAACAACTCCCAGGTCGTGGATGGCGCAAGTGTGGAACTGCACCCTGAACACCACATCTCTGATCGGGCTTCTGTACCTCTTGTGGTAACACTTCAGCTGTGGTGAGCACGACGGGGGGGGGGGTTATGAAAGATCAATATATCAGTCAATGTATCAATCAGGCAGAAATTAGAGAGGAAAGTTCGGTGTTGTTATTGAAATCTCACCAAGATGTCTCCCTTCAGAAGCAGGCCTGGTTCGATAGTGATGCAGATACTGGTGTTGCTGTCCCCTTGCACGTTGCTGTGGTAAAAAAAACAACAACAATTTTCTGTTAAAACTCAATCACTTGTTTCCTCATAGGGTTATCTTTGCCCTGGATTATAACACAAGCCAAGCTGAACTGGAATAAGAGTTTTCATACTATATTCCTGACGTATAGACTGGTTGCATTGCCTGGTAGATCTTCAGGAAAGGACGGCAGCCTGCGAGGGGGAAACAAACGAGGACGCTGAAGCATTTTCAAGCAAAATTTAGACTTCTTTCTGTAAGAGTTTGGCAGAGGAAGATACTCACCTCCTTTGGACTCAAAGTTGGGTATGCCGTGCATGATAACATGATGCAGGAACAGAGGCTTGTTGTTGATTTTTATGTGTCCGGACAGGAGGCCGTTGAAGTATCGCACATACCTGCAGACAAAGGAAAGGAAGCAAAGACTTTAGGTTGTCGAATACTTACTCTCAGGACTTTTCCCCTTGGCAGCATCACTTGTGCCCGGACTTTCAGGTCACTTTGCCAAATAATTTATGAAATAACAACTTGGGTGCAAAATTGATATTTTGGCCTGAAAGCGGCGCATTTAGGGATACAATGTGCCCAGTAAATTTCATAGCAATCTGGCAATTACACATCTTTATTACCTCTCTTCAAGCATGCATTTTAGAGAAACCTTGTACTTGAATAAATTGTTAAACAAGGGGAAGTTTTGACCCAATTATTACAGTACAATAAAGGTCAGTGGATCAGCAAGATCATCAGGAATCATCCTCTGGAGAACATGAATATCTTCAGCAAATTTAATGGCAATCAGTTGAATCCTTGCTGAGATACATACACAGCTATTTTACCACTTAGCATGTCAGGACCTTCTGGCTAGATTACATGCCAAATCCACACTTAATAAACCCCCTTCCTGTGTGGTTCACCTTTCCCGCCCGTCAGCTCCACCAGCACAGCCACAACTGAATTCCACTCTGACTGTAAATCAGCCTTTATCCACTACGGGAACCGCCAGAGTGAACTGGTGTGTACAGAGGCCAGTTGGGGGTCTGTTGAGTTAGTGTGGTCTGGTTGTAAATGATGATAATGATGATGGTACCAAACGTGACCTTGACCGTGGGGTCGCCACATGCAGACACCCCCCTTGCTCTGCTGTCAGTGGCCAGATGGTTTCGCCTCTGTGAAATTCAATTAGACTGAGCCGGCACGCCACGAAAACAGCGCTGAGAGGAGGACCGGGCTTGTAGCTACAGAACGTTTGTGTGTGATATGAGACGTAATAGTGTTCTGTCTTTTACCAAGAAATTATCCTATATTAAAGGTTTCGCATGAAGCCTTTGGAACATGTACACATGTGTATTGATTTAATAAAACTACAGACATGATGATTGTATGCAAGCTGTGTCAGGTTGTGTTCAAAATGAAGACACAAACCCTCTGTCACAAACAGTAATTGCAGCTAAGGAAGCCCCAGAATAAACTTAAAATATTCATAAAATATAATGAGCGAAGCTGCTGAAATTGTAAATGAACCTTCCCATGAGAACAAGCATAATTACTGTATAGGTATCTAGACTCTGGGCAATCCTGTCCTATCTCTTCCAGTATCTTCTTATGTGCCTAAGCTTGATGAAGGTGCTTCATATCAGCAGAGTCTAATCGCCAAAGTCTTGCTCTCTCATTACTGAAATGACACATGGGAACGAGACCATACCTCAAAGCAAAGTTACTGATACAAAAAAAAAAAAGTTCTTCATTAAAATGGAGTGAAATTTAACCTCAAGTGATTGGAAAAATCTTTTCAATCAATACTCAGATGATGATCAGACACGTGTCCTTACAGAAGCAATAGTTTGCTAAACGGCTCGGCTTTGAACCGTCCGGCCTGAGCGCGACATTGTAAAGCAGTCACACTAAAAGTTTACACTAATTCAGCTTTGTTGTGTGACAAAAACACACAAGGGAGACATAAAAGGCGGCCAATCCTCTCAGTGACGGTCCAGTTTGTTCACTGTAGCACACCACCATTTCACAACAAACATGGTAATGATTTCATGATGCTAAAATGCTACACATAACACCTCTAATCCAAAGTTTTACACGCTTTCATAGCAGCAGAAGGCCGAACTCATCTTTTACTCTTGATGTTAATGTCACACATTCCAGACCATAATACGGGCAGACTCCTGGGGCACGGATAATTATATCCGAAGCAGGAAATAGCAGCGGGGCAGAGGGGAAGCCTATAGACCTGTTAGAGAATGGCTGGCTGCCTAATTCACTCGCTGAAATGAAGTGGTGTTAAGTCCCCTGGTGTTTCCTGTGTTTCTTTGTTAATTCCCCGTCACCTTTTTCCTGTTCGGATCAAGAAACCTCTCGCTGCAGGTAAAGAAGGCAGACTTGATGGGTCCAGCCTTTATGAAGCTGACTTATAATAATGCAGAGGGGGGTAATAATATGGTATGGACAGTCCCCATGAGCGAGCTGCATTCAAAATAATAAGGAATTGTTTAAATAGCTTTAAACCACTCTCGATTGGTTTCACTTGGCTGTTTTGCTCTCTATTCATGGAAAGCACATTATCTCCAAACACTCACTGCTAAATGTGGAGAAGAACTGGAGGAAAATATGCTCTGATACGCTTAAAAGACAGGAATGAACTGCCACTAAGCCCCGCAGCCTCCCCAGAGACACCAGTGAAATCCCTCAGACAGACAAGACAGATTACTTCTCCCAGTGCCATGACATTTACTCACAATTATCCCAATTAAAACTAAATTGGAGATAAACAAGAAAAAAGGGAAAGAATTTCCTCTGCAAAATGTTTCTAAAGCTAAATGGGAAAGATGGAGCTGCGCCACAACACTGATCAGTCAGTTTGTTGATTGTCCAAGCTTAGCTTCAGAGGCGTAACTAGGCAGGCGGGCCTGATGGCATGGGGCACGTAAGAGTGATATCCTGTATATAAACAGTTTGTTGGGTTCTTCTTCTTCTCCAAAACCAAGAATATTTATCTTCTCTTACATGAGCTGCAAACGTTAGCATGTTCAGCTAACTAGCTCAGTACCTACAGTAGCAGAGATACATCCAAGGCCAAGTAGCGCTTCTTACTAAATTATTATGTGCAGGTACATTAAGGTGTAGTGACAGTAACTATGGGGGTCAGGACTTCTTCTACTTATTCTATAAAGCTTTAGGAATAATTAAAAAACACTGTACTTTACACTAATAACCTAACCCTAACCTTTTCTGCGATGGCTGACCCACAGGAAGTGCTTTGTCCTCGTAGAAGCGCCTCATGGCAAACCTGTCCAACGCCTGGTCAGCACTGCATGACACAAAATGAGAAGGACATTGTTATAGTTTGTTGTTCCACAAATTACAACGTATCAACAACTGCTTGTATATTCGAAATACCCCCCTGGAACTTCACCATTTACAAAACAGCTTTAAATCCTCCTGGCTCCATCCCACCTATTAACATCTGGTTGCATTAAAGAATGATGACATTGTTGGAGCGCTTCTTCTCACAGAGCCAGAAAAATAAGCTGAACCGGACTCTGTGTTTTGCCATAATAATCACATCAGTATTTAATTTTCAAGACTGCTCTGGTCCCAGACCTTGAGGTGATGGATTGGCGCTCCTGTCCTCACAAAACCTTGTGAGGAGGAGATTTAAAGTGGATTTAAATTCCACTTGCTCAAAATCGACAGGCACAAATCTTCACCATGTTTTAGTCTGTCTACTTATCGTGACATCTTTGATACCTTGCAGATATGTTGCTGTAGTGCATGTACGCAGCCACCACCACCCCCGTTCGACCTCGGTTCCCCTGTGACACAGAAACACAGAAGAGAGGGGAAACTTTGTCAGCAATATGATTGAAGTTTGACTGTGGATTATTAAAAGGTTTATTTGACACAGGACTTATTTCAAAGAGATCAAAGATTTTTTTCATAAATATCAAGAAACGGAGGAACAAATAAATCCTCAGAAGTGATGGACTGGTCAGCAAGCTGCTTGATTTACATTGAAAACCCAAAAAGCTGGAAGAAACATAAATCACATGAAATAATGTTTGATCACTCTGCGTGTTTAGAGTGACTGGTCAGGCTCTAAAAAGCAACAAATCTGAGCGGGGAAAATGTTTTTATTTCTGCTTTTTCTGCTTCATCTGGGTAGCATGTGCAAATACTGTAAAGTTATGTATGTTTAAACAAAAGCGAATGGATTGTATAACCATGAGAATTGAATAACTACAAGAATTTATGTTGAGTTCATGAGATCAGCAGCCACAAAGCATACAATATAAATACAACCATAGGTTTGACATTTAAAGGAGTAGTTCAACATTTTGGGAGATAGGCAATAATTCCTTGATATTAACAGATGTTTTTTTTTTCCTTTCATGTTCTGGACAGTCGTGTTGCTGCTTTACCTTGTTGTGTAATACAACCACGTTGCGTGGGTCTCCATTGAGCCACGTGTCGATGGCCTTGCACATGCTGCAGATTTTGTCCAGCGCTGGTGCATGGTGGTCTGGCCAGCCAAACTCCAGAACCTGGGGGGGGTTGAGAGGGTTCGTGGTTTTATTCAGACCAGAAGGAGGTTTCACTTTTCATCTTTGTGGTTTCATTCCTCTAAAACATGAGGTTATCTAATAGATATGCCTGTGTGTTTACCTTGTGGTTTAACTTTGATATGTCGTTCCTCTGCTCGCTCAGGTTGAGCATCTGAAATCAGATAGAGACCAAATATGAATATATCAAAGTACTAATGCACATGTGATATTCAAAATGTATTTTTAGGTTTTTTATTGTTAAAGAAGAAATATCACAACAAAGTCACACTTGTGCAGTGAAAAGAATCACTGAAATTTCTGCACTGACCAAAATCAAAGGACAGAGTTGAGTAAACAGGAAACACAAGAAGTGATATGAGTGAACAGTCCTGGATTTAGAGGGGGGGGAGGGGGTATCTCACCAGATAATGTTCGCCGTGTTTGGACCGCAGCATCGTCGCCACCTCCTTGAGGTGGGTGGTGTAGCTGTGCTCCTCGGCGGCGGCGGGGAAAGAGACGGAGATGATCCTCTCCGTGATGTAGACCAGGTCCACCTCATAGCTCTCCTCCATGGCCTGAACCACACTCTGACTCCTGGAAAAGGCAGAGGGAGCGAGACGTGTTTATCTGGTGCTTTTGTATCCCAGTGGGGGGATAGCTTCACGGTCGAACTGAGCATCTCTCAACCGCACAGCTGAGGTTCAAACTTTTTGTTGGCGAACATCTACCCTGCTCTCCTTGAACAAAATACCGAGGTCCTGATTTCATGAAGGTTTGCATAGGAAAAGGTGTGTGTTATGTAACCAAACTGGAACACTCTACTCTTCACTTTGCTCCTCTTTGCATGAATTTTTCATAAATATCATAATATTATTTTGAAGGCTATACAAATTAAAACCACACACCATTCACTGACTGCAACCCTTTCAAATGACTGTAAGATAAGGTGGAATAAGTTTGGCCATTTAGAATAACTGTTATTATCACAACTGAAATAAAAAATGTTATAAATGAGAAATGGGAAAGTGTGCATGACATCACCAGCAATTTGGCCAATCAAGAGACAGTGTTTACCATTATGGAATCACAAATCTGACCAGAGACTGGTTCGACAATTATGCGTGCTTTTTGTGCCGATGGGTGCCAGTGTTGGTGGCGGCATTCATCTTAAAGCTGAAGCATCTAAATTGAGCTCGCAAGGACACAACCATGGGATGGAGGCCTTGACCTTTTTACCTTCTAAACACTGGACAGTTTTCCGATATTAACTCAACATAAGGATCTTGATCATCAGCTTTGTTCACTCCAAACTGCTCTCCAGTTTTCAGAGATCATCATCTTCACACAGCACTTCTTTACAGCAGCTGTGAGAACACTTCTAAAACTCAGTTCATCACAAACATCCACTTGATCAAAAGTAAACTCCTGCAGCTCACTCTCATATTTCTTGGAGAGGAAAAGGTTTACAATCCTTCGCTGACTGTTGACATGACCTCTGCTGATATTATTATTATACTGTATTATCACTATAATCTATTTCACTGGCCAAACGGTAATCAGGTTTATTGGGTGGTGAGCATACAGTAAAGCCCCGCATGAGAAATAACCATGTTTGAAGAATAACAGAAAACAAAGAGTGTGGAATGAGAATTTACATTCCGAGAAAAAAGACCAAATAATCGTTATGTGATGTTCATCGTAAAATTGAGTTGGAGATCACAATGGATTATGGAGGGAAAATAATCTATTCTTAAATTTATTCTATCAACTCCATTTTTCTGATGTGTGAGTGTAGATATCTGTGCACCTGCATATAACACGAGTCTTACCGTGACTGCTTTCGCCTTATCTCGACGCTCTTGCAGGACCTCGTAGATCCCTGGAGAGCACACACACACACACACACACACACACACACACACACACACACACAAACACACACACACATATATGCAGAGGGTGGGGGAGAGAGGGAGGAGGAGGGAGGGAGAAAATGATTCATAAGCATAAGCCATCTGGTAATGATGATGATTTTACTGAATTACAATCTGACATAACAAATTACAGAAAAGTCAGATCACAAGAAGCAAAACTGAAGCTGTTTTGGAGAAAGAGAAAGAAAAAGAGAAGAGATAGAGCAAGATAAAACAAAGAGGAGGAGGAGGAAAAAATGAAGAGAAGAATAAGGAGTAGGAGAAGGAGCAGGAGAAGAAGATGAAGAAGTTTGGAGAGAAGGACGTGTGTAAGGATGAGCAAAAACGAAAAGAGGATGATGAAGAGGAGAGGGAACAAAAGAAAAGAATGCTGAAAATGATGAAGAAAGAAAAGGAGAGAGAAACAAAGAAATGAGAGGAAGCAGGAGAAGAAAATGTAACAGAAGGATAAGGAAGAGATTAAGGAGAAGAAGAAGAAAAAAAAACAATAAGGGAGAGGAGGGGAAGAAGGATAAAAAAATCACAATACATCAGTGTCTTCCAGGAGAAAACCATCCTGACTCAGGTCTCGTCAGGACTTCAGCACACTTTAATTATCTTGTCTTGAATCTAGTTATTTACTGAGGAAAGAGGTGAAGTCAGGTTGTTTTACTGTGACAGGACTGCGGAGGGAAAACGTTACTAAATATGTAGTGTCGAGGAATCGCTGCATAATAGATACTGGAGTTGGCGCTTCCTTTTACTGTTTGTGGGGCCCGGGGGGGGGGCATGCCTGTATGAAGTCAGCCGCCATCAAAAAAGATGAAGGCACCCAAAAAGATAGAACTAGCAGCTAAAATTTATCTTCACAGGCATCATCTGTGAGATTTTAGACTTTTTTCCCACAACGTCATGAAGAGTGAGCGTTCAGCTTTACCGGTCAAGTGGTTAAACAGAGATGTTGGCAAGAAGGGTCTCTAATCATCGCAGAAGGTTAAACACACAGCACAGAGCTCTCCATGTTGCTGCCCAGCGGCTTCTCCCAGATGAAGCTAATCCCACCCCCAAGAGCCAAAATGGGAAGCATAATTCTCTGTGATTTGACAGGAACCAGATGCCAGGCGGACCGCGGACGTTAGTGTTTGCAAAATGAAACAGCCTGTTCGCATGGGGCTTCGGGGGTGTTACGCCGGTACATTTCACATCGCGGGGACAATCTGTTGTCTTGTAGCGACATGGGTGCATGAACGCCTCATGAAAATCAATGCAGCATGTAATGTAGTCTAGCTACAGTGTCTGTCCATTTAAAATGCACTTTTTCACACGAGAAAGCTGGATTTTACAATAAAAGGCTGGTTCTCATTGTCAAAAAGAAAATCCAATGGAAAGGACAGAACCAACAATAAATGTACCATTCTAACATATTTCCTGCCAAAGCATGATGCAGTTTATTCCTCTGTGCCACAGACTCCATTGTCGTCCAAAAACTATTAAACTCACATCACTGAGCCACATCACTGCACTGAGTGACACGTTCCTTTATTACCATGAACATAGGCACTGCGGTGTGTTTGGAGTCAATCACACATACTGTACATCATGAAGATACTCACTAGTGCAATAAATGTGTATTAATCCGCGACTGAAAACAGTCCCTACCGGTTATCCAAACTGTAAATATTCATGTCAACATTGCAGTTTAATTGCGACTAGGAAACTCCAATTTTTTTTTGATAACTGACTTGACACCAAAGAGAAGTGGATGCCTCACGTCAGCCGAATCAAGGCAATTAATAGCATTTTTGTCCCTCATATGACCAGATCTGCAATCAACTATTAGAGTTATCTACAAACATGAATATTCACAAGTACCTCTACCATTTATCCAGTATGACACGAACATCGCATGAGTGCCACAGTAAAGGTGGAGAAGACTGAAAATATTAGACTAATGCTCTGGGCATTCAGGCATTTCTTGCCAATAAGAAAATATTGAATAATGTCAACTATAATCTTAAAGACATACGGATAGATAACATTTCATGAAAAATGACAAATCCATCTGCTGAGGAAGATCATATGATATGACTGAAAGCTCCACAACAGCTACTAATGGACAAGCTACAAAAAGAAAAAACAAAACTGTGGCATTTTGGACTTCCTGTGCGACAGTAGCCTACCTTGTTGAACAGGTACCCAGTGCTCCACCTCCAGGATGAACGCAGGTGGGCAAAACGCCTTCGGATGGAGCTGCCCAGAGGCATGTTTTGGCACAGTAACTACTTCCAACTAAACCAATTTCATGTTTTTAAATCACAGAGCATCATCCAGGTCACCGCGGCCTTAATCGCCTAGCGCTACAACGAGAAGGTCCCACTGTGCCATCATGAGAGAAAAGATGCTTCATGAGCAATTATGTAATATATCATGATGCATCTTCCCTCTCTCGTTTCCCTTTCGACTGCCTTCTCCCTTCTTTCTCTTGTCCTCTCCCTCCCACCCACTTTGTTCTCTCTGGAACTACTCCTCCCTCGGTCTCATTATCTCTCATTATTTCTGACTCCCCCCCCCTTTTCTTTTTTCTCAAGCCCTGTGTTTGTATGCTGTGTGGTTCCTATGTGAATATACAGTATATGTTTTTTGTCTGCTGCACATGTGTTTGACCTTAATTAACCTCAAGAATCTAGTAACTGAAGCGAAAAGTTATCAAAGCATAAAACATGGAATGAAAATACTTTTAATATTTCCCTTTTGGTTTCAAGTAATAAATTTGATCATTAAAACTGTTGTGAAATTGTAGCCGCTCAACTTTACCTCTTTACATGAGTGTATCCCTCTCTGTCCTCCCTTGAGTCATTAACTGATTCACAAAATTCCCCATAGTGCACTTGGATGACCCCGAACAGGCCTCACACCGACTCAGTTATAGTCATGATGGGGTGTTTTGATTTAAAAACCACCATATATGAATCCTATATGGACTAACCCAATAAAGATTCCGTCGGCAGCCCCCCCCCCCTCCCCCTGCTCTGTCCATACATCACACACCCACACACACAAATGCCCATATGTATGGTAAACCCCATATGATGATGATTCCATAATTTAAGCATCAAAGCAGAAAGCAGAGGATGCCAGGATAACACAATAAGAAAACAAATGATTTCCTTTAAAATCAAGCCAAAATGTATGGAACGCAAGACAAGATCTCCATTTCACTTGGAACCAAAGAAACACGATATGATGGGATAACACAAAGAATGCTTTGATAAAAGGTAACAACCACACAACAAAGCTTTTTTTTGGTTAAACAAAACATTCGGATGAAAGATCAGGATCATGACCTCAGCTGAGGGGCCGTGTCTATGTGTATTTACTCCCAAACACCAGTGTGTCCTTGTCAAATTATTTGTAAAAATCTTCCAAAATTACAGTAAAAAACAAGACTGTGGTCAAGACAACTAGTAGCTTCTCTCTCTGTATTTTTAGCGCTCGTCGTTCTCATGATTCCACCCACATTTCCCATGAACCCATGCATATGGATGGAGAGCAGACAGCTACAGGCACAGGTTTTTGGTGGAATAGTCCTTTAACATACTGTAATAATATATAAAATGTCCTAATTTTTTTGTCGCCTTTGATTTAGGACCCCTCTCTATTAATTAAGACATCATCCCAGTCCCACGCACCTTCTCGTCTTCCAATCATTTTCTGTGAACTCTACCCAAACTCATCACGTTGTCTCATCATCTGTCTTCTGTTCTCTGGGAACGCACCGAATATGAATTAATCTCCATACAAGCTTGTGTCAAGGACCAATCTGTGTTAATAATCTGATTCTGAGTCATCACTGAAGTAAACATTCAGACGACGACCGATGCAAACACTCATTACTCATTGTTGTGACTCACAGAAGGGAGAGGAGAAGAAGCAGAGATGCCAGACATCAGTGCTGCTTTCATCTTTTGAAAATATGTTGCTTCTGGTTTCATGAAAAGAAAAATAAAGACATGGGAGCCGTGTATTCAAAAAACATTTGAAACAAGCTAACAAATCTTTGCCTTTGTGACTGTTGGCTTGAATAAACTGTTTTCTTTTTGCATTAGCAGTGGTTCTCTCCTCTCTTATTTTTTTGGAATCATGCCTTCTTGGAAACCCACCGCCTCTCCCTGCACCCTTCATGGTTTAGCAATGTCAAGCTAAACATGCATGCTTAGTTTCAGGCCAGGCCTTGGCAGCGACTCCTGGCACAGAGGAGGCGTAATTTGCAGTGAGCTAACAAAAACAGATGTCAGGGCAGCTTTTCTCATTTTGCAAGGTATGTACCAAATATTTCTTTAGACTGGCACAGAACAGAGAGAGGGTTAAATCATTTAGCTCAGGCCACCTGGTTGTACGGACTCTGGAGTGTGCCACTAGAATAATAAGAGCATTGTTCATTGTTCATTGTTCATGTTAATTAATTCATGATCAATTAATAGAAGAATTTAAGAAATTCAATTTGCATTCAGATGATGCATGAAAAACAAACACGCAAAAAAAAAAACATAATTAAAAATATCCTTAGGTTGTCTTTGAATTATACATTTACATCACAGTAATGTGTCTATATATCAAATTCATTAAAACTATTTAAAAATGTGTAAAAATCAAATATGGTTCAACCATCAAACAGAGCAGCAGCAGCAGCAGCAGAGGCTCTAATTGGTTAGTCAAGTATGTTATGTACTGCATGGTGCTGCCACCTTCTGCGGTTTGCAGGAACAGACGTGAGCTGTGTTTGGGGTCAGAGCTCAACAGCTTTAATTACTTATGAAATTATCAAGTAACTAATTATGTATTAATGGATAAGAATTAAAAACTGAAGAAGCCTATAATTATTCTGGTGACACACTCTAGACTCAGTGGGTTGTACACACAGGATGTGGTGCTGTAAAACACTGTGAAGGGTGGTTTATCTGTACAGTAGGTAGCGACGTTTTTCGAACAAAACTGAAGTGTAAAAGAATCACTTCCTGTGATGTTTTTCTTATCAAAATAAAATGATACAACAGCATGTGACAATATGTTTTATGTCATTGTTGTCAGTCGTTGAATTTGGATAATTAGTGAAATGGCAATTATTACTTTTGATGGTGAAACACCAGTTGCTCTAATGACACTATATGTACAAAAGTATGTGGACACTCAATATTAAACTCATATTTGATTGAGCATTAATCTGCTGCTTTAACTGCCTCCACTCCTCTCACCACAAGACTGTGGAAACCTGGCGGCAGGGATTTGCTCCCATTTAGCCACAGGAGCAATAGTGAGGTCGGCCACTGATGGTGGGTGATAAGAGCTGGATTGCAGTCAGTGTTCCAGGTCATCCCAAAGGTGTTGGATGGGGTTAAAGTCAGGGCTCTGTTTTCCTCCACCGCAAACTGGGAAAACCACTTCTTTATGGACCTGGCTTTGTGCACAGCGGGATTGTCTTATTGGAACAGGGAAGGGTCTTCCCCAAACTGTTGCCACAGAGTTGGAAGCACATTTCTGTCTAAAACATTGTATGTTGTGGCATTGATATTTCCCTTAAGTGTAACTAAGGGGACTAACCCAAACCATGACCAAAAGTACACAAATGTATGTGGAGAGTGTCCATATACATTTGGCCATAAAGCATATATAAGGATTGTTATTCCAGCACTTTGTTGCAATAACAATAACAGCATTTATGAATGAAGAGCTTTTAAAGCATGTTTCCTTGGCATTAACACTTAGAAGGAAGAGGCGTTACTTACCGGTGTATCTACATGCTTTAATGGCAGCTGAGGAGTGGGAGGCTGGAGAGAGAAGCCAGACAGTCAGTGGGTTAGTCATTGTTTCTCTCACACCGAGGAAGAAACAACATGGTGAGCGAAAGGATGAGAAGGGGAAGGAGAGAGAAGAGGGAGAGACTATTTGTTTTATAGACCTCTCTCTCTCTCTCTCTCTCTCCCCCTCTGTCTGGCTGTCGGTGACACACCAGACACAGTCATTCTATTAACCTTGAGGAAAACACACTGTCTATGGCTTCCTCTCTGAGCTATACACACTTTCTCTGTCCTCCATACACAAAGTACACATACTCTGTTATTATACATTATTCTTTATTAACATCATGTTGATTTAGAGGTATGTGTAGTGCTTTACAATTTAAATCTCTCTATTAGTCTTTGTGTGTTGCTGAAAGTGAAAGAAAGTATTTGACTGAGACAGTAATGTGTCCACACACACACACACACACACCCACACAGACTGACAGGGATCCATGTGTTAAGGAAAATCTCTTAACTGAGTTAAGTGCAGCGTCTTAGGCTGATGTGAGCTCTATAAACAAAACCGGGGGCTGTTTAACAAGCTGCAGCCGTCATTTAAAAAGGCCGGCATCCAAAGTAAATAAGTGAAAAGTAGCTTGGAATGTTCCTAACTTGGTCATATCATTGGTGGTTAATCTTTCAAATATAAAACAGGACCGGCTGCACTGCTTTTTGTTTGACATTAGAAATCAGGAGAATGATGAAATTGCTATTCCTGCCGATTTTTTAAACTCACTCACCCACCTACCATTTGCTGATTATGCAGCATTTATGGACGTGAATGAAAAACTTCTATTTAAAGCTCGATAAAAATGACTCAAGTCTCAGTGTCGCAGTGCATGAATCACATTTTGTCCTGTAAAGGAGCAACCCCTAGAGGAAAGGGAAATTATCACTTTGACTGCAGCTCAGTATCAGTCTCTTGGTGTAGCATTTAAATGCATCCCGAAAGCCTCAGAACAAATCAGTGATTTAAGATACTTTCTCAGTCCATCCTGGAGGTCTAGGTGTGTTACAGTTATATCATTTAATTGCAGTGTGCCCAGGCCAAATCCAATGAATAACAGAAGAGAAAATACTGATTAAAAAAAGGGAAGAATATGTAAACTATGGACGGTGGGATGACAAAATTGACAGCTCAGTCAACAAAACTACTACTATACTAAAGGCACCTAAAGGAAACTGCCCCATAACACTGGCATCATCATCATCATCAAATTCTTATCCCCTCTACAGCTGAAACAGTATTCAGAATGTGTCTTGTTAGAGCTGCATTGACAGGATTTTCCCTTGAGGAAACGGAGGAAGCCCTCGTGGTTATAGCCTCTGACCTATGACCTCCAGCGTCAACCGCACAGCGCTCCCTGTGAGTGGTTCCGCCACAATGACAGGAAGGCTCACAGCATTACGACGGGGATTTCAGAGGTCAACAAGATCTTTAAGAGTTTCCTTTATGGTCTCATTTGTGCACAGATTCACACACATACTACACAAACACACAAGACATGCACACGGCATACTCACCACCTCATAGTTGGTAGTTGTTTGACATGATGTGGTGACCTGTGGAAGAAGAAACAGAGATGAGACAAGAGAAGAAACGCATTATGACGACTGTGATATCTGCATGGGACAGTAAAAGAGGAGGGGGGCAGAGAGAAGTAAAGGTTAACCATGACTAAGGGACAAATACCAAAAGCATCTTCTCAAATCTGAAGTACTTTAGTGCTGTGTTTTAAAAGGGAGGGAGAGACTCCGAAGAGTCTCTGAATCTTTCCTCCTGAATGCTTGAGTATTCCCAAAATCACCCTCAACAGTACAGAAATAACCACTGCTTTAAAAAAAAAGAAAAAAAAAAAGGCCCTTTTGACTGTAGTTCTGCGTGGGAAACATGTCAGGGCCATTCCAGGCAAAATCACATTTGGCACTGAATTCACACTGAAACACAATAGTTCCTGTAAAAGTCCGAAAACAATTCACCGCAGTTCACAGGATGAGTTCACTGACGGGTTGAAGCATTACACTATGACTGTAAATTATTTTGCACAATGTTTTCGCAAGTCAGTCTGTGTGAGAGAATCCACGCATAACACAACATCACGAACATCACGGAGCTGTCCTGACCTGCTCTCGTTTGTCTTAGTCTACGAAATGTCAGAAAAATTCATCTAAACCCCAAAGATATTTAGTTTAACGATCAAATAAGACAAAGAAAAGTAGAAAATGTTTTATATTGTGGCTTGAAAAATGACTAAAACATTTAGTCGATTATCAAAATAGATGCAGATGTATTTTCCCTGCAGGCTTGCAGCTGGCCACCGACGTCGTTGTAGGCAGTGTCAGAACGTCTGATGCCAAAGTCAATTGGACATAAAATACTGACGACAGCTGACATAGATATTTTGTTGGTTTGAACTTGTGTTGTTGAGTAACTAAAATCCAGCGTCCTCCGAACGTCTCATGCCCATATTCTAGTCATGATTTATGGTGACCGAAACCCAACGTGTGCCAAACGTCACAGTGTTAATTAGCCAACAGGAGTCCAACATCTTGTTACATTGACATCTGGTACCAGTTGGGTAATGAACTGAACTAAATGTTAAAACTGAAGTTGGGTCTACTCCTGACAAACTGAAAACTTCACCTCCTTTTGTCTTGTGAAACAGCACCCCGTCCTCACTATGAGCTTTACAACAACATGTTTTTTCAGTTTTCTTTTCAGTAAAACAACAGTAGGTTTCCTGATAAATGCAGCTGGGTGGCACACCAGTACTATGAAATGCAGAGTTGCTGGGCGAGTACCTGTTGCCAGACCTCCCAGCAACAGTATCACTTGTCCCCTAATTATAATATCACCTCAAAATAAGAGTGGTATTGATTTCCTGATGTTGCAAGGCTGCATGTAGCATCTTTAAATAGCAGTTAGGGTATCACAGGACAATTCAGCTCTCAAAACAGTTTGCTCATAGTATCCATGGCAGGCAATAGTGGCTCCTAATAGTCTGCATTGCCCTCTGCACAACAAATCACTCATTATGATGCATAAACAGTCATTCTCCGGCAAGCTGAGAGACTTCCATTTGACTGTATTTACCTTCGTGTGTACACATAAACATGCATGCATACGTGTGCACGGTTAAAGTGAGTGCGTGCAGTGGGCCAGTATCCGAACGTGTTGTGAGTTGATGGATGTTTACGAGCAGCGGGACGAGAGTGCGCGCTATCAGTACGCCACAGACGCAGGCGAGGAAGGAAGCTGCTGTAATTAGTTTGCTCTGGGAAAACAAAAGACTCATTGACTTTGTAATACTATCATCAAGTGTATCAGAATACAGCAGCAGCAGAACAGATCCCACCTGGTGCATGATGATATGCAATGTGATGGCATCAGTTCACCAGTTACTGCTGATATGGTTATATGCTACGGTAAAAGCATGAAGAAAGATGACCAGGAGTGTACTGAGATATTTCAAGCGAGCCTACAAGTTACACATTTTTGTGCTAATTTCCATGTTCCATTGCTGGGACCATAATATGTTAATATGCGCTGAATGCATATGTACTATGTATGTACAATACTGCATCAGAAAAACAGCCAGTAGTTGATGTTAAGTGCCACTTTTAATACCGTAAAATATGACTTTATAAGCTAAAATTTACAAGCAGTCAGTCAAAAATCCCCCTCGAGGCAGTGTGCAGATTTTTGCAGACCAGATTTATGTGGTTCAAACCATCAGTGGCCAGTATTCAATAAAATGCCAGTCCAATCTTATTCTTGTTAAGCGCATATACAGATGCATGAGAGTGCATGACTACTTTGGGGTCATTTTGAATCTCCGGGTTTATAAAGTGAACGAGATACACTGTTGCTCCTGCAGGTGCTACATTCAGGGAAGAGTGTCAGGTGATACAGGATGCATGCATGAACGTACCTGTTCAAAGATGCACTCAGCTGCCTAGTTTAAACCAATGCAATGCAACAGCCCTGCAGGAAATCCCACCTTCGTGAACATTCTGATGTTTCAGTTTTTGTGTCGAGAAGTGTATGAGAACTGCATGAATGAAAAAAAAAACGCCCATGATATTTTTCACTGTCTCAGCTGCTGTAACTTGAAGCGCCCTTTAGCAACGCAGCTAAAACCCGACGACTGCACTGGAGCTTGTCAGAGAGGCCGACAGTACATGAAGTCGCTAGTATCAGGAGCCAGAGGCGAGTCAGCTCATGCTTTGCTCTTTACTGTTCCGACACTACCTGGGGCCAACACTGACATTCATATATCAGTGTTGCCGGTCTCAGTGGCCCCTGGGGCCTCGTAGCGAGAGCATCTGCCTTTATTATCACAGCTGACAGGAAATGCTGTTCTGTGCACTGTACTGTAGCATACGCCTGCAAATGTCCCAATGATGACTCCCTCCAGTATTGATCTAAAGGTCAGAAGGGCATAGCGATGACTTTGAGTCTCAGCGGCTACTGTACACTTACATCCAGAGGAACCAGACGACTGGCCTCATACAGCAGCAGCCACGTGAATCACAATTTTTTTTTACCTTTAGGAACATATTTCTGCTTGAATATTGCTTGCAACTATTGTTACTGTTCAGGCGGGAGATATATAATACAGACGCCAACTTCATAATCGCATCTTACATTCCTTCAAACAGTGTCTCGGTGTAACTTAACATCCTCACCGCATCACTGTGCAACAAAGCAAGAGAACAACAGCTTCCCTGAGTTCATCCATATATGGTGGGTGCAGCTGAAAGCCGGAGTAACACAGGCTTCACATGGGTTTTACCCGCTCAGACGGATGAAAGAGCAGGAATCTCCGAGAGGCTCTGCCACATGCTTCAGCATCGGGCCAGACTAACACCTGAACTTCATCCATCAGTAATTGTTTTTGTTGCTCCATCTGCGCCATCTCAAAATCTGTCAAAACCAGAGCACCAAAATCCACATAAATGCTGAAATAGGGGACTATTTTTTATCATCTGATGCCTAAGAATTGATTAAATCTGTCAGATAAAATGTATGTTGACTTTTTCTTTTTTTTGACCTTTGCGTGCATCTCCCAAATCACGTCCCAGCAAAGTGACCAGCAGACCGCAAATAGAAAGAGAGTCATAGTGGGTTTAGGCTTTTAAAACAGACAGCTTATAATCTCATCGAGTCACGAGGGGCGTCTGGGAAGCCACTGAACTAGAACAAGGAGTCAAGCAAGTCACCAGGGGGGGCCCCTCCGCAATCTCAACCCAGCCGAGAGGCCTCATTAGGGGGCAAACGGAGGTGAGTCGAGGCGGGACGTTGTTGAATTAGCCTGCAACAAGGGTCAAATGTGTCAGGTGCGTCTCAACAGTTTCACGGAGCTGCCCTTGTCTTTTTTCTTTTCTTTTCTTTTTTTTCTCTCCTTCCTCCCTCCTCCTCACACTGAGGGTGCGGATCAGCGAGAACTTTGATGATTTCAGCAAAACTGCTGCTCAAGTGGGTTTATATGGAGATGGGGAGCGCAGGATATCAAAGCACGACTCTGGAGCCTGGTCCACTGGGTTGAATCATGTGTATAATGAGTTAACAGGTTGCAGTTCAACCAGGGTAGTGATGAACCATTTTCTCTTCACTCTCACACACTTCAAACAGGCTTGAACAAGCATCCTCTGATAAGCAAGGAGAAATATGGCTGGCTTGCTCAGCAATCTTTGTACGCTTGGTTTGCACTCTTCCAGACAATGAGGGCATTTTCAGTGCCTTTAATGTTTTAGTTTTGTGCTGTTTGACACATAAAAAAGTATGAAATTTTATATTTTTGCAGATGAGATTAGAATATTTTTTGATATCTTGCAAGGTTTATTTTCTCATTTCTACATTTTACAGATTTTTTTGTATGGAGGAGTTGATTTTTGCCCTTATACCACTCTAGCTGAGCAGTAATCACTCTGATCTTGGTTCATCTACTTCAGCCTAACTGATGGGAGAAAGCCTGTGTTTGCCACTGTGCATAAATCATCTCCCTGGCTCCAATAAATAAGCCCGCCATTGGTCCAACCACACTCAAAATTCCTCAAGCACTCCTCCTGCCCACACAAGAGCCACTGCCGCGCTGATGGCAGTTTGCCTGAGAAAGTAAATTCTTCACTTTCCAAACGGGGGCCAAATAAGGACTGAAGCTCAAACAGCCCCTTTGGAGGGATTCATACATCGGCTGGGTTTCTGTTTTACTTGGAGGGCTAATAAATCCGCTGAGCACTGTGATGGCGGAGAGCGTGTTCCTTTCCCGCTTTGACATTTTGACATAATGTCAAGTATGTACCTCGCCATGTTCGACTGGGTGGCGTTGTGTCGCTGGCAGGAGAGCGATGTTGAGTGATGCTGTCAGCGGTTAAATAATATCTGACGAATTTATAAGGAGAGCTAAATCAAGGAGTCGTAAGATAACAGCAAAATAAATGACAGAATGCTGCCAACAAAGAAAACTGCGTGGGAAAGTTTTACCACTAAAATGCTATCTATCATTTATGAAAGAGTCAGTTATTCAATTTCCTTTAAAAACAGAGAATTCGTTCTGCGA